GAGAAATAAAAACTAAAAAAACTCAAATAAGGTGGTTGCATCAGTGTGCACACCCTCTTAAAACTGGGAATGTGGGTGTTCAGAGTTAACTAATCACATTCAAACTCATGTTAAATCAGTGAGCAMACACCTCCCTTCATATAAAGTGCCTCTGGTTAACCCTAAAGAAAGTTTAGCTGTTCTGTAGGCTTTTCTTGACATTGTCTTACAAAGACCACATTTCCATTTTCTTAGTTTCTTACAGCCATGGTCCACAGAGAGCTTCCAAYGCATCAGAGGGATCTCATTATTAAAATATATCTGTCAGAAGGGTACAAAAGAATTTCCAAGGCTTTAGACATACCACGGGGCACAGTGAAGACAGTCATCATCATCAAGTGGAGAAWATATGACACAACAGTGACATTACCAAGAACTGGATGCCCATCCAAAATTGATGAAAAGACAAGAAGTAAACTRGTCAGGGAGGCTGCCAAAGAGGCCTACAGCAACACTAAAGGAGCTACAGGAATTTCTCACAAGTACTCACAACAATCTCTCGTATTCTTCATATGTCTGGGCTATGGTGTAGGGTTGCATAATGGAAGCCTTTTCCTACAAAAAAAAATAACGGCAAAATTTTGCAAAAACATATTTGAGTCTCCCAAAGACACATAGGAAAATGTWTCATGATTTGACGAACGTTTGGTCATAATTCATTGAGGTATGTTTGGTGCAAACTCAACACTACACAACAGCAGAACAGCAGGCCCACAGTGAAGCATGGTGGTGGCAGCATCATGCTCTGGGGCTGCTTCTCTTCAGCAGGGACTGGGGCCTTGGTCAAGGTGGGTGGGATTGTAAACAATTCCAAATACCAGTCAGTGTTGGCACAAAACCTTTAGGCTTCAGCTAGAAAGCAGAATTAAATTTTTTATTTGTGATTTGTATTTTTTTGTTGTACATAGAATTTTTGTGTTTAAATGAAATGAATAAGAAAAGAAATGAACAAAAACGTAAGCTGTATCTGAGTATCCTATGTGGCCGATGGTATCACAGAATTCATTACGCCGTCAGCAAATTAAACATAAGAACATAGACGGTGAATGTCTTTTTAAAATTTTATGGCATTTTTATGGCAGAGTTTAGAATGATCACGGACTGAAGAATGTAAGTTGAGCAAATTAGCTGATGAAACGTTTGTTGCAATGAGATGTTAAATTAAATGCGGTTACAGGTTACTATGCCCATGTTTTGTTGACCTGATACAAATGTTTATCATCCAAAAATAGTTGGGGGCACATATCTCTGCTACTGTTATTTTGTGGGTCAAAAGCTGAAAAGTTTGGGAACCACTGCACTTTGGTTCCCAAAGTTGGGCTTGGGACCCAATTATGGGT